GTAAGATATGGCAAAATAATAATTTATACATTATCAAGGGTTCATGAGGGAGGGGGGAGGGAAGGGGAAAAATGAGGAGCTGGTGCTAGGGGCTTACGTAGAGAGCAAATGTTTTGAGAATGATGAGTGTACAATGATGAATGTACAAATGTGCTTTACACAATTGATGGATGTATGGATTGTGATAAGCGTGTATGTGCCCCGAATTCAATGATTTTAAAAAAAGGAAAATAAAGAAATCAGTCCATGAACCTAAGGTTTGAACTGTAGTTCCATGGCTTGAACCAAGGAGTGAACCAGGAAACAGGGATTCAAATACCCACCCACCCCTGCTTGATCTCATCCAGGAGATGCTCCAACACAGCCTTGATCATCCCATTTAATTTCTGAGCACCTCTGTCTCCTCATCTGCAGAAGGGTATATTAATAACCCCAGCCTCCTAAGTGTTCATCCTCAAGATTAAATAACGCCCTTAGCACTGTGCCTGACATCTAGCTAGCTCTCCATATCTGGAAACGGATTCAGTTATTATGGTTGTTTAGTCAGGGATGTCAGCCTTTTTAACACCCTCTCTTTCCCTCTCTCTCTCCTTTTTCCTCCCAGGTGCCTCCACCCAGAATTCTAACACCGTGGAGCCAGAGAAGCAGGTGGACAACACCGTGAAGATGGCCGGTGTGATCGCTGGTCTCCTCATGTTTATTATCATTCTCCTGGGGGTGATGCTCACCATCAAAAGAAGGTGAGTCTCTGCTACTGCCCTGCCGATTCTGCTGACCCCGTACTCCCCTGGGGTCAGGTCCCTGTTCGGTTGACCCCATCCAGCAAGGAACTTCTAACATGCTTGTTGGGATCCTGAAATTCTCTCATCTCCTGCGGCACATCGTGTCTGTGCTGCAGGATGCACGCTCCTGTTTGGTGAATGGCCAGCGATCCTTTGGTTTGGACGGCTCTGATGTATGGGGGATTCTGGGTGTCATGCCATTTGGCTTTTTTGAGTCAACAGCTATGTTGTGAATGGTCAAGGCATCAAGACACCTACGCCTTACACTACAGATGTGTGGAAGGAACGCATGGCCTTTCTCGCTTCCATTCACCCGATTTCCCGCTCATCAAATGGTCAAATTGCAGCAGGACCCCAAGCTGCCCTCTGCCAGATGGTGTGAAAGGCCCCGGGGAACGATCCTTTCTGCTTCAGGTCCTTGTTGTTGCTAACAGGACATCTCCATAGGCATCTCTGGACCATGAACATGGTCTCTCAGAGGGTTCCCTCCAGACTGCATGGCCCACAAATGCCAGGCTGCAGGTGTCTCTCTCCTTGCCCAGATTCACAACTGTGGCATTTCAGTTTAGCGGACATTCAGATAGCTTTCAGAGACCATAAAGGAAAGGGGAATCTAAAGGATGAATATTAGCCGTCACTCTCCTGAACGTGCACTTCTCCACAGCCCCTGGACTGCCACTACATCACCATGCTTACTGTCCTTCTACCAGAAGGGGTTCTCCGTCTTCTCCATGTTAACACCACAAACCCAAACTTGATCTCCATCCCACCCCCCACTCCCGAGCCTGCCAGAGCAAACAAACTTATACCAATCAACAGAACATTTTACACCTTCAAACAAGTTGGGGAGCACACCTCAGCTCGAAATGTCGGGGCAAAGGTGGAAAGCGCTCCTGGATGATCTTTCCCACCAGAACAAAGTGGAAGAAGGACCCACAGGCACAATCCAAGTTCCACCTTAACCATGGGGGGAAGTGCAGAAAGTTAAACAAAACAACAACAAAAGGTCGATGTCCTCAGCAATTCAGAAATACGCGTGCAGTCAGCTTTCTCTGAGTCTTATGCTCAGAAATTCCCTGGTCTCTTTCCTGATTCCTCTTTGACTTGACTGGTTCTGCTTCTGACCACGGTATTTGATTGTTCGGAAAGGGCCCTCTTTTCACTCCCTTCCCCTAATAGGAGCATGCCTTTCCTTAGGCTCCCAGAAGTAGGGCTTAAGGGTTAAGATTCTTATCCACCTGCTGGTTTTGTGGTAGGGAGGCTAAGTGAAGGGGAAGTTGCTTTATTAACATTGGGGTTCAGAGCCCCCCAAAGAGTAAAGGACTGCATGGCATTATTCTATCATCATCATCATCATCATCATCATCATCTATGAGACATGGTCCACTGCCTTACATGAGGTTAGACGTGAGTTTTGATCTCTCGGGGGCCTTAAGCACACTGCCCAAACAGGATCTCCGGCCTCCTTCTTAGAGTCACAGGAACATTCAAGACAGAAGTGAATTTGGGATTGTCTACCTGAAAAAAATAATAATACCCAATTTAATAGACTTGAAGGCCTTTTTGATAGACGTGCAATGTTCGCCTTTGTTGCCACTGATCTGTAAGTCAGACACGCTCTTCCAATGTTCTCTTTCTAAAGCCTGACTTAGCCCACGTCGCTGTTCTCTGTGAGCTTGCGAAGAAATTTCACTTCCTTCTCAGCAGCTATTTCTGAAACTGTGACTTTTCCGGAGGGGGGGAGGGTTTTCTGTCTCCAGGGTGGGAGCAAGCACAAAGCAAGGTCTTGGTGCAGCGCCAACCCCTTCTGCTTGTCCTTATCATCTCTCACCTGTATCAAAACCAGGCGTCAGACGCAACCAACGTGTGGTACAGAGGTGACCACTTCTCAAGAGAACAAAAGTCAGACATTGTGCCAACGGTGGGAGGGAGGGGAGGGGTGCAGATTGGTGTTGATATCTCCAAAAGCCTTTAGAGCAGCAGTTCTCAATGTGTGGGTCGCGACCCCTTTAAGGGTCGAACGACCCTTTCACAGGGGTCGCCAGATACATAACAGTAGCAAAATGACAGTGTTGAAGTAGCAACGAAAATAATGTTACGGTTGGGGGGTCGCCACAACCTGAGGAACTGTATGAAAGGGTTGTGGCATTAGGAAGGTTGAGCACCACTGTTTTAGAGGAAAAATTAGACATCTTGCTGACTTAGTTGATGGGGATGTTATTCAGATGGATAAGGGAGAATAGAGTCAAAAGAAAGGCAAAGGGGGAGGAAGAGAGAATTAAACAGAGCTCTGCCCCCTTTCCATGAGCCTACAATATCCTCCGGTGTTTAGAAGTAGCCACAGCACCCGGAAGGGCTAGAGAAGGTACTTTAGTGCCTCTCAGCCCACCTACCAATATGGGAGACACTCTTTTGGTCCACTGAGTCTGCTGTCACTCATTTCTCCCGCTCAGAATCCTGTCCACAATTACCTACTAGAAAGAGGGATTGAAAGAAAGAAACACCCAAATAGTAGCCAAAGCATCCCAGCTCAGGGGCCTAGTGTCAACATCTCTCCCATATGACATCGGGTCCTATGGTTCATGGATCTAGGAACCATCAAAGCTTCAATACCACCCACCCCCTTTCCTGGCTTGAGCTTTCCCGGGTTTTCTCCCTGCCCTCCATGCACCTGGAAGTGGTGTCTCCCTGTTTTCTCTGGTGGAAGTGGATTCAACTGACTCAAAGTCTTCTCTAAAGCTGTAGCCACAAATGTTCCTGGAACAGGAAAGATACACCATCCCCTCCCTCTGAAGAATTCACCATTTCAGCCTTTGGGCATCATTGTAACTCCCCAAAGAGCTTCTTTCTCTTCCTGTTAGAGCTTTCCTCTTGTGATGCAGAACTAGGTGGCTGGCAGAGAATGGGCTAAAGATTCGAAGGACAAAGACATGGGCTTAATTAAAAAGCCATATTATTTGATATTCAGAAAACGTGGGTAAGGACAAAGTGCTTAAAGAAAGAGGGGACACTTTCAGCAAAGCCTGGAAGATTTTTGTGGTGGTTTGTCATTGTTATTTGGTTTGGTTTGTAATTGGAGGGGATCTTGAAAGATGAAAGGCTACAAAAGGGAGATGCAATGTTGGGGCTGAATCAAATGGGATTCCCATATGGTTTACAAAAGATGCACACTCAAGCTTAGAATTTTTTTGTATTGCCCTTGGCCGCTGGGAGTGGGCATTTTTGCATGTGAGACCATACCAAGTCATGGCCTTAAGGGGTCACACAGGATTTTACGAGTATCAAAAGATGAAAAACCAGAGCCCCTCCTTGATAGAGTTAGTGACCAACCTGATTTTGACCAAGTTCACTATAAAACATGTGTCTGGAAACAAAGCAAAGCAAAAGATAAATATTCGGCCCAGAACCGACAGAGAGAAAGCCTGTCCCTAAAGCCAGTGCCCTGAATTTGGGCTTCTGGCCACCTACACTGAGCAAGAAGAAACTTCTGTTCAACAGTTACCCACGTGTGGGTTTTCTGTTCGAGCAGCACAAAGAAAGCAAGTCTGTGTTCCATTCGTAGATGCACCATTGTGTATTTGTTGTCAGTTCCTTATGAGTGAGCATTTGTCATTTGCCGTGTTTTATTCGCTCAAAGAGTTATGCATAGCTAGGAGGAAATACATAGTCTCCAGACACTGCCATTGGCTCATGACTCCCTCTTGTTCTCCTGTATTTATCAATCACGTCTAGGTCACAAAATATTCTAGAATGAGCTTCCCTATGACGTTATCTAGTAAAGCATACTTCCTTTCATGAGTAATGCTTTGGGTTCTGAAACTTTCATCACAGACTGCCCTCCAATCCTGGTCATTTCCTTCCCTTACCACTTCCCCTTACCACACCCTCCTCTACGAGAATGAGCAGTCAGAGGCACTGGCTCACCCCCATAGTTCCTTGGCTTAGTACCTGAAATTGATACCTCACCCAGTGGATCTGGATGGTCCTCCCTCAAACTCACTGCCATGGAGTCAATGTTGACCCCAAAGCGATCGCCTGTGGGTTTCTGAGACTGTAATGGTTTAGGGAAGAAAAAGGCCCATCTTTCCCTAGGAGCTGCTAGTGGTTTGGAATTGACCGTGCAGATTGAAGTCCCATGTGTAACCAGTACATCACCAGGCCTTCGTCTCTTGATGGTAAAGGGTGTTTATTAGCTACTCATAGATGAGAAGTTCTATACCTTCATATCTGTGGGTGGGTTGTGGACCTATCTGCATAGGTCCGCAAGTTTTATATAGTCCAAGTGGGGAACACTCCCTGGAGTCTGAGTATGGGCCCCCAAGGTTTAAGGTCTAGAGATCTACTTGTGCATAAATACCAGAAGCAAATTAAGCACATCTCAATGTGCCCCCCCAAGAGCTGCGTGCATCCTACCTTAACCTTGCCACCCCTTCTTTTGCTTCAAGTGAACTCTAGGTGGCCTTGAAGGAGATATTCTAAGCCAGCCACTACCCGTCGTACCAGCCACTCCCATTAGCTCCTTTCTCCTCCTGCCTAGCCCCTCTTGGCCCAGCGTGAACTTCTTTCTTGACTACCCACAAAAGAATTTTGCCAAGAGTACATTTGGAATGTCATGGATTTGAAAAACAGAAGTCTCCTGTAAGATCAATGTGCATCTCTAGGTGCACTTTGAGTTTCATGATTTGCAGTAGGCCCTGTACCCTCATCATTAACAGTCCATCTTGGAAGGCTTATATTCCCGTCTCTGTTTGGCCAAGAGGAGTTAGTTAGAATGAAGACACTGGCACTGCTCCTGCATGGGATGAGAAGCTTTAGCCACTGGAGGTACAGGAAGCACACCAACTTCCACCCTCCAAGCTCTGTGCTTCAGTGTCCTTCGTGCAGCCTTCTCTCTCTCATTGTCCAGTCTTGGCCCTGGGCTCCCCGAGATAAGCCAGATATGGGCTTCACCTTCCAGT